AACAACAACAATGACAACGACGACAACGACGACAACGACGACAACGACGACAACGACGACAGTCTCGACACTGTGGCCGCGCTCAAGAAGAAGACTCGCGAGGCTGCGCGCTTCGCTGGGATCGACAGCCCACTGACCCCCCAACAGGTCAAGTTCGCTAAGTGTTACGCTGGCAAATCCCCTAAGGAGACCCTTGGTACGTCCGTTCACTCGGACGTTCCCTCTCTATTTGTTAGCTAAACTTCCGGTACTCGTAGACATGCTCATGGCGAAGTGGCGGTCTCCGTTCTACAAACATTTCGAGCGCCCCCAGCTTATCGTAGCCCCCAATGGGGTTGTTATGCATCGTTTCATTTGCAAGGCGTGCGTAACCTCTGCATCTCTCATATCGCATCCGATCTGACGCACCTTCCCTAGCCATAAGGATAAGACCGTCGACCGCCTTGAATACGAAGAGAGCACCGGGAATCTCTCCCGGCACATCAAGGCCTGCGACCCCGACAGAGGAGACCACTCTCATCGAGAACTACGCCTCCGGTGTTACGTACAGTCCCCACCGTCTGCGTTACCTTATCGCGATGTGGGTTGCACGTAACCATCGTCCGTTCACGATCATCGAGGACACCGAGTTCCGGACGATGCTGGGTATGATGTACAACAAAGTCGCCATCCCTACCCGCAACACTGTGTCTCAAGACGTCCGCGACATTCATGCCGAGTCCAAGGAGAAGGTCAAGGAGCACCTGAAGGTTAGTAGTCCCGCTGTGTCTGTTCGTTTGGTTCGCCGTTCGCTCACACGCTCTTCCAGAACTTGGAGGGCGGCATCCACATCTGTATGGATGGATGGACTGCCCCCAACGTCATCTCATACCTTGGTATCACGGCCCACTGGCACGAGGATGGTAACATCAAGCACATAATCCTCGATTTCGTCAAGTGAGCATTTTTCTAATGTGTAACGACCTCATACTAACCTATTTCAAAGGCTCACGAAGTCGCACACCGCGAAATATCTCGCGGAGAAGCTCGCCGCGTGCCTCAACGACTTCGGCATCCTCGAGAAGGTCAGTTCATCGCGTTTATTCGTTTGAACGATACATCTCATGTACGTTCTCACAGGTCATCGCAGTCACCTGCGACAATGCGGAGGTGAACGTCGCTCTCATGCGCGATCTCCGCGAGACCTACCCGGCACTCCGCATCGGCGCTGGTCTGGTTCGGTGCTTCGGCCATGTTCTCAACCTCGTGAGCAAGGTATGTAGTTCCCTTGAGTTATACCCCCTTCGCACACAAACTCATACAACTCATTGACTCATGAAGGCCGCGGTAAAGCCAATCCAGAAGGCGCGCTCACGCAAGCCCCGCGAGACTGAGCTCGAGGTCGAGGACGATGAGGACCGTGACGAGCTGTCTGAGTCCGACGACGAGCTGTCTGAGTCCGACGACGAGCTGTCTGAGTCCGACGACGACGAAGAAGACGACGCAGTGGCTGACAACTCACGCGAGGCGGCCGACGATGACCTTATCGACACCATCTTCTTGGAGGCCGAGGTTGGCATGGTGAACCCGCATTGTGAGCCTGGCGACCTCAAGGAGGCTATTGCTGCGCTCGACAAGGTTCGCTCCTCATTATTTCCCTGGATTCTTCGTTGTGCCTGACATCTGGTGATTGTTCAGATCACCAAGCTCTCGAAGAAAGTCTGGCACACTCCAATGGTGCGCGAGGAGCTCGAGAAGCTCGCGACCGATGCGGGCCTGCACTCGCGCGTTCTCGTGCGCTCAGTTAAGACGCGGTGGAACACGCTCGTAATGGTCATCGGGCGAGCCCTCGACATGAAGCCGGTGCTCACCTCCCTTTGCGACATGCACGCGTTCAACCGCGTGAGGGGTGTGCGCCTTCGTCGGTTCATCCTTTCCGACGATGAGTGGTCGATCTTGGAGTAGTTGTATCATCTCATGGACGTACGTTTTTACCTTTCTGTCTAAGTACATGCCTCACTCAACACTTTCTTTCCACCCACACAGCCATTCCTCTTCGCGACGAACGAGATCTCGTCGAGCACGCGTGCGCTGCTCCACGAGGTCATTCCTTTCATGGATGTCCTTACTAAGCATCTCGACGACTTCATCGACCAAGAAGAACTCCACCCCGCCGTCCGCAGGGGTTCTGAGCTCGCGCGCACCCTGCTCAACAAGTACTACTCCAAGACCGACGAGACCCCGCTCTACCGCATTGCAATGAGTACGCTTTATTCCATTTATACTGAGGTCACTCGCTAACAAACACCTCTTAGTGCTTCATCCTGCGTATAAACTCACGTACTTCCGCAACGCGGGGTGGGCTGAAGAGTGGATCTCCGTCGCCCGGCACCTCATCTCCGAGGAGTGGATTCAGCACTACAAGCCCCTTGTCCCTGCGGCGTCCATGTCTCCTGGCCCCACCGGCTCTCGGCCTCCTGCACAGGCTGCGTTTCGGTTTGGCTCCCGCAGCAACAGTGCGTCAGTGAGTGCCGCATGTGCTTCTGTCCGGGCCTATGTCATCTAACAACTTTACTTTACCATTACAGCTCTTCGCGAACATTGCCTCGCGTCCGCGTGCTGGGGATGACAGCATTGACGCGCTTGAGGAGTATCTTACCTCTCCCCCCACCAAGACCGTGCGTGACCCTCTTGCGTACTGGAACGTGGCCCTCAAGAGTGGGTCCGAGAACGCTGCGCTTGCTCGCATGGCACTGGACTACCTGTCCATCCCTGGTGCATCCACTGTCCATTTGTCTCCACCGCGCATTGCTGACCCCTGCGTAAAAGCGAGCTCGACCGATGCGGAGCGTGCCTTCTCCCGTGGTCGCCTTACCGTATCCCGCCTTCGTCGCTCCCTCGGCAACGACTCAGTCCGCGCGAACGTGATCCTGGGTTCTTGGGCGCGCATTCCCGGGCTCGTTCCCCAGGAGGAAATCATCGCCTTCCTCAAGGACAAGAAGGGCGTGCGCATGCGCCGCGAGGGAGCCGCTGGGACAAGGACACCGCCGCCCTCAATGTGATTGAGGTATCTGACTAGTGCGTTGATATGTGATTTGTACTTGTAGCTCGTCGAAGTGCCACCAATGTGGCTAAATACTATTCTCTATCGCTCCGACTCTCCACGTCGTCCTCGACACCCTTCCGCCCTCCACCTCCATGTTCCGCGATCCCCTGATCTCCGTGCGTGCATGTGACAGTGCCATCGCGCTGCACATTCCTATCTCGCGCGCGGCGCGCGCGCTCTCTCGGCCTCTGTGTCCTGCGATCTGAGCGCGATTGATCACGCGCTCACGCTGCAGGTGGGTGATCACGTGCGCTCTCCAAAGGACGCCCTCACACACTTGCACTGCCCTTGGCTGCTGTGTCCCACCGCCCGCGCGGCACGATCCCTGCAGGCTGACGGGCTCAGCTATGCCCCGTAACCTGTGCACTCTCGCGAGTCACACCGCACCTTCCGTGTGCTGGCCAGTCCCCTATTCCATCTCATGCGCGCTCTACACCTCGAGGTATCTTGCGCGCAAGATACCTGGAGGTGATACGAGAAGCGCCGCACCTGCGGCACTTCTGTGGCTCACGGCTCAGCTGTGAATTCCGCAAACTCATTCCTGGGTCCTCCCACTCTCGTGCACGCACTCAATCACTGCGTACTTGTGTTTCATTACATCTTATGTATTATCACTGCCCTAAATCCCACTAAAGAGTGAGAATGATCTGCACATATCCACAGACCCGCAATGAGCTGCAATTTGCGGCTCACTTGGGGGTTCTACCTGCGGATTACGGCTCCAGGTCATGCAGCTCCGGGTCTTCCAGAGGGTCAGACCTGTGCGGATCTGGATCAGGCCTCTGGAAGTCACATGACCCGTGGGTTCGGATCCAGATCACCCACGGGTAGACCTGCATGCAGCCTTAAGCGGTGCGTTTGGCAGGGGTCTTCCGGGGTGTGGCAGCAGACCTATATATGCACATTAATAAAAACTGCAGAGCAGGACGTACAGGACCTACGCAGAGCGTCCACGGGTAGCCTTGCGAGGGGGCATGATTGAACGATTGGAAAGGGAGTGTGGGAGCAACAAGAGTGCAGAGAAAAGCGAGTGTGAGTGCAATAGTGAGAATTGAGGAGAGAGAGAGGAAATGAGAGCCACGGCGAGCCCGCTCAGGTTTAAATAATGCACTATGATGTGCAGTGTTTACCTTCTGGTCTGTTTGCTGGTCTGTGCGTATCGCACCACAGGCCAGACCGATGCCTCGCAGAGGGACATCAAGTCTTGCCGATGCCCTCGCTTACAGCTCAAGCGAGCATGAGCATAACAGAAAGCGAGCATGGTGGACTCCCTTTATTCTCACTATATTTTCCCTTCTACTCATATTGTTCTTCTGCTCAGCAAAAATGAGCAGGAAGAAACAGCTTTCCAATGACACCGAATATACCACAAAGGGAAAGTTTGACGTGGAAGGAGTGCAGAACACAGCCGCCACTCGATAGAACCCACCCTCTCTAAGCGAAAATTCCCATCATTTGGCCTAAAAAAAGTTGACAGAGTTGACAGAAGTTCTAAGCTTTGCACAAATAAACATTGGAAATTCCTCATGAATTGTCGAGAACATAGTCATGCTGAGGAGAGGCGAAGAGGGGACCCGGTCTATCCTGCCTTCCACCACCGCACTTTTCGAGCTCATACACCTCCTTCTCACCATTCACTATGCTCTATGCTGCTCAGCTCGCGGTGGAGGAGTCCAAGTATGGTGAGAAAACAGTTGCAGAAGCTTCTCCTCTACAGCGCTCATCGGTTTGTGCTAGCCGAGATGCTTCGGAAGGAGATGAGTGCCCGCATCGAGTTGGAGGCACCATACACTCAGTTGCAGAGCATCAAAGAGGTGAGTACCTGTGGATTTTCATGGAATGTTTCTCATACTATGGGTAGCCCAGCATTCTCGATGCAGTTGGGGAGGTTGTGGACGACGCCCGAGGCACCCGGATGACGCTCATCCATCATCGCACTTCGCCTCAAGAGCCTATTGAAGAGCTCATTCTATCACTTCAAGGCTATCTCGTCGAAGCCAATCTCCCACCTGTTCGTAAGATGGAGTGAGTCTTCTTTTTGATGCTATGCACCATGCTTGACAAGGCCGTTCCTAGCATTCCCCGATCCAACCATCGTCTCATCAGTATGAGCCAGTCGGTCGTCATCTCTGGGCTCGGCGAGGACTTGTTCAAAGATGCCGTGCAAGGCGCACTCTGCGTCTACCAGGTCTATCAGCGCCTCATTGAGACGTTGCACGGAAAACTACGAGAGTGGAGTCTGGTTGACCGCTCCGGACATCTTGCTATCCAGTTCGGTAATCGTCTGCTTAGCAGGGGGAAGGAAGCTGCCGATAATGAGGTCGTAGACTTGGCAGACGTGGTTGACCCTTTTAACGTCCTTCGTCTGGTCTTGCGCGATCACGTCCACACCACCGACAACGCCGTCCAGTACTGGGAGCGCACCGTGAAGAACTCCAAGTATGTACTTGGTTATCTTATAGTGCGCTGCAGCTAACTTTTTTCAGGGCGACGTACTCGAAAATAAAACCTCACCAGATCAACATCTCCAACCTTGTCGAGCTGCAAATCGCATTTACAGTTGTCCGCCTCCCCCGTCAGGAGTACGTTTTTGTTCCCAAGCTTTGTTCAATTTGTGTTTTAGACCGGGCTGTTGAGAGGGTGAGTAATATGTGTCAGAACTCCGGGATGCCTGCTGATGGGTTTATAGGATTTCAATCTTGCGTCAATTGCCGTTTTGACGAAGCGAGCCAAGTCTCCCCGGCGCCTGATGAAGCGAAAGGTTGGGTATGGGGAGAGTGACAAAGATGACGCTGAGGTTGCGTTAAAGCGCATGCGCTTGGAGGATGGCGGCTTACCAGGGAGTGCGGTTGTACCTCAGGCTGATGTGTTGATGGGCGAGTAGAAGTCTGGTGTGCCTATTCATGGTTTATAGTACATCTAGCCATTAATACAGTATCAACTGAGATTTATTTCCTCATGATCACGCTCTGAATTTATATTAATATTAAGAATTATTCTGCTGGAGTGTACTTGAGCAGTGCATCGTTCAGCAGGAAACACGTGATGTCAGAGTACCATGCGTCTGATATGTCGCTTAGATCTTCCCAGAGCACTTTCCCTGACCCTGCCTGCACTTTTTTATTGCGCATTTCTTGCTTCATTACTGCACCATGATCTAACCACCAGTGATACCTTCAGGTTGGGTATGCCCACACAGGGACGAGTACAGGTGGAGACAGACATACCTGCGCTCTACCTGCACCCCTACCAGTACCGGCATCGTCTGTATGTGTCATAAAATGTGTACTGCAGTTTTATATATAGCCTATTCTATTAGGCCCTGGCTTTCAGAGCTTTGGAGAAGCTGCACAGGCTAACAGCGGTCCGGTGTTCTCGGGCATCCATAGGCGCTCATAGAAGCGATGCAAACATAGGCAGTTGTTTTCAGAAACTATGAGCTCCTCCCTTCAAGCAGTGTTTGGTAAAGAACTTCTATAGCACAACTAATGTAATACACACTGTACAACACTACATTTACAGTGTTTTATATGCTATGAGGCCATACACAATCCAAACCAAGTGAGCATTGATACACACATGTCCTTCCGACACATTTGTGTTCTATGCAATCTATAGGTATGTGTGATGCTTCCATACATCTTCAGAGTTCTTTTAATAATTCGTTGATGCCTTCTCTGCAACCACAACCACACTGAAAGCCATCTACCTGCTTTGCTATGGATATGAAAAAGCAGGATGCGTGACAGCAAGATATAGCCATCTTTTTATGAGATCTTTTTTTTTCAATTACTCATGAAAGGTAGAAGAGCAGGCACAAGAATTTCCAAGAGAGAGTGTAAGACCAGAACAGGTAGAGCTATATTCCGGAGTACTCTGTCTGTTCACGCATCGGCCGTGCAGAACCCTCAACACAGGGCACATCAAGTGAACTTTGATTGCATTTCAGCAGAATTAATAATCAATGCCTTAGTAACAACTTTGAACCCAGGAGTAAGTAAGGCCGGAACAGGCACAAGTAACACCTTTGAAATGAGCAGTAAGTAAGGCTGGAACAGGCACTAGTAACAACTTTCAAATGTGCAGTAAGTAGAGACCCGGAGTCGCGACTTTGAATCATATGATGAGCACTGTCTATACCAGTGGCTTTTAGCTGGTGAGGCCAGACTGGTAGGTTTGAAAACATCAATAACTGTGCCTGGACCAGTACATAGTATGTAAGGTGAGACTAGTAACTTTCAACGCAGTAACATTGCACGTAGTAGTAAGTAAGACCACATTAGTAACTGTGAAGGGCAATACTAAACAAGGTAGTAAGTACTACAGGCCTAACAAGATTGAACAACCTAGACTAGCAACTTCTCATGTAGTAGTTGGTTGAAATAGCATAGTAAGCATCTAAATGCCTCTTGAGTGTTCAATAGTTACTAGTCACTACGTTGGCATCTTGAGTGATATGTAGTTTAGGGCAGTGTGGATCAGTCTGGCTAGTAGGTCCTGCCTAGAGTAGTAAGTAAGGCTGAACTAGTAGGTTTGAACGGGGCAGTAAGGAAGGCCAGTAATGGCCCACTCCTACTAAGTAAAGCTGAACTAGTACCTTTGAACAGACCGGCAAATAAGGCCAGATTAGTAGCTTCAAACTTGCAGCCAGACTGGCAACCCCAAATAGTACAGTAAGTAAGACCATAGTAGTGACTTTGAACAATGTAGCAACTTTCAATGGGGATTTAGGTGGCACTGGATTAGTGGCTTTGGAGAAACTGGTAAATAATGCCTGGAGTACTAACTTTGAACACTGTAGCAACCTAGAATAGGGCAGTAGGCAAGGCCGGAGTAGCAAAGGTGGTAAGTACTCTCTAGACAAGCAACTTTGATGCTAGCAGGTAACTATAGCTACTATACAGTGTTAGTAGTAGGCAATAATAAGTGCTATACAGTGCCCATCTTAGTCTAGCATACAAGGTATTAGCATAGTAAGCAACTCCGGTCATGGGGTAACAGCAGTAGTATAGAATATGGGTAGAGACAGATGTAGGCAACTACACTTACTAGAGAGCATAGATAATAACACTAGTAGGTAACTACACATAGGTAACTAGCACTACTATACAGCATAGGTACTATCAATAGTAGGCAATAACATCGGCCTTAGAGCATACAGACCGGGCCAGAGGTGGCAGTGCAAACCCAGCGGCTATTGGAACCCTAGAGAGCAACCCTAACCCCGGAGTAGGGTGATGGCAGTAAGTAAAAATCCTATGCGTGGGAAGTGGCTGTGCTAATCAGAGGTAAGCGGAATCTGAAAAATACTCCCACGACTAGCATTTTAAGGGTGTCGCGCGTCGCAGCCAGAGCCCACCCCATAAAGAATGATTCATTCGTACCTCATTAATCGTAACTGGCTCATCACTATCCCCTTGTGTGACAGGCAGACTATTGCGTCATTGTCCCCTGACTGGCCTATCACATGACAGGCAGACTGTCCGTTGACTATTGCTTGAGTGCCTCTCTGTGCGCGAGGCAGACTGTCCCTTGCCTATCACTTGAGTGGCTCCCTGCACATGACTCACAGCGGTCTCTTGGCTCCACTCAATCTTGCTGACAATCACCCCCGACGCCCACTGCACTTTGCCGCATCACTCCGTTCTGCAGTGTGTATGACGGTCGCTGCACGTGCAGTGTACAGGCTTGTCCCGCGTGACACGGGACAAACTTCAAAGAGGCGCGGTTCTGCACCATCGCTGCGTAGCACCATCCTCGTGTGTCGCACTAGACCTCAAGTGTGGATGCGTAAGGAGCAACGCGCAGGAGATGATTGTGCGACCGCATCCCGGCAGTGCCAAAGTGCCCACGCATGCAAGAAGGAGGAGGTGGACTCGCGTGTGACAACCAGGTGCCAGCAGTCAACCCAATCAGACCGGCCGACAAAAGTGGTCAGCAACATCAGGCTTGGTTGACTCCAGCGTCTAGCTGCCGACCAAGGGCCTAAGGCCATGAATCCCAGCTGCCCACACCTGGTCTGCCACAGACCACGCTGCTTGTGCGTGCACAGACCATGCCCCCAACATGCCCCAAACAGGATTCCTGTTCTTTGTCCAGTCCGGCGCAGACCAGACAAAACGTGACCAGTACCATGGCAGTACCGTGTCCTAGGTCCTATTCAGGCACCAAATATCCACCATTTCTTGTCGTGTGAGCGATGGCGCAGTGGGGTCCCATTTTAAATGTGACTACCACCGTGACAGGGCTAGGGGAGTGCCGGGGCGAGCTGAGACGCAACAGCGCATCAACTACACTGTCCCATACCTCTAAACTGAGCATTTGAATACAAGTTCAACTTGCAGCCAGGACAGCATGGAATTAGGAAGACAGCAACAGGAAGCAGACAAGTCACAACGAGATGAGAGCACAAGCGCGAACCGCACTGGCAAGCCTCCCATGAGCCTGTCACATGGGTGACAGGCGTTTTCACATGGCCCACAATGTCCTACAGCTGGGGTGGTGGGTCCATCCCAACAGATTACGATCACGTGCATTGCCGTGTTCAAAAACCTCTTTAATACATAGCTTGGGAAGTCTGGTGAATGAGATTCGGCTTGGTCTGTCTGGTGCCTGCACCACCAGTAAACTAACCTAACCTAACCTCTGTGAAGCCTATGACTAGTACGAGTTGAGGGAGTGAGATGTGCGTCCCAGACGCACCCATGTGGGGACAGAAGAGGCAGATCGTCCGGGCACTTACTTGGGTGGCTCGCTTCGAGAGGCTGGGGACTTCGGCCGATGTAGCACCCCCAGCGAACGAACACATCACACGATCCTGCCCAGAGCTATTGAGAGGCCTCCGGTGGGGGGCGGCAACTGAAGCGAGGTGACATGCAGGGTGGGGACTGCTGTGAACACCATGATCGGAATGGGCATCTGGAGTGGTGGTTTCGACTCCATGTCGTCGAGAGAAGGCTGGGTCGCGATGATTTGCGGCACCCACCTGTCAGCGATGAAGTCTTGCCTGGTGAGGCCTGTGGCAAGGAGCAGACTGGGTGGAGCAGTTCATACCATTGGCTGGAAGGGTCTGCCAATGAAAGGCGATTGGGGGTGGAGGCGATGGCGTGTTGCGAATACAGCTGGGGTGGACAGAGGAGAGGGGGGAGGAGAGCAAGGAGGGAAACCCCCTACACTGTGAGTGCTGTCCTCCAAGTCGCTGGCTGGGGACACTGACAACGAGTGCGTGCTGCCGTTGGCGGGGCGGGGAGGGGTAGGGGGAGAAGGGGGAGTGAGGTGAAAGGGGCTATTACAGACGCCATGCATCCGTGCTTTCACTGCCACAACTGCTTGGTGCAGTTTGCCCAACTCCTCATCCATCTCTTGACGGTCTTTTTTGTCGTGCACCTGCTCCCCAAGCGTCACTTGAAGCCACTCGACATTGGTATATAGGGTTTTGACCAGGACGTCACCCGGTTCTGTAAAGGCTGGTGTTGGTTACCGCACAACATAAGTGCACAGTGAGCACACCTTCTGAGATAGGGAGCGGGGAAGTGGCAGGATCACCCTCATCCTCCTCCTCCTCTACGAGTGTGGCGAAAACAGAGTGGCATTAGTACTGCATGACATAAGGGCACAGTGAACACACCTTCTGCCATGAATGGATCCATAGAAGGTCAGCCAGTGGTGGGGACAGTGGGTGAGGGCGTCAATGGGGGCGCCAGAGTAGGAGTTTCCTTGACCAGTACATAGCACCGTTGCCGCTTACTTGTGACAGCCTGGGTACCGTGGGTTGGGTTGCAGGTGCACTACACCTCATGTGCGTCTCAGCGCTGACAGCTGTACGTCAGCGCATTTGGCGGGTGAAGGGGATGCCAACTCAAGTCCGCTGATTACAATTGGTGA